CCTATATTCAGTGGCTCAAGTCCTCCACTAGCTAATTCCTACAAAAGGTTGTGCCCCTTCTCCTAAAACACGGATCAGGAATAAGGTCAGCTAGCTGTATAGGCTGTGTTTAGAACAACCAGGTGTATATAACCTCCCTTGACAGACATCACCAGCTGCAGGACTAGAGGATTTTGTTGAGCAGGTGGCTATCCACGCAGGGAAGCAGAAACCACGGCTGCCCCTTCCCTCTTTCTGTACCTCACTGAGGTTTGCAGCATTGGCTCGGGCCTGCAAGAAGAGAGGCTCATCCTTGCTGATGGTATATTGATGGATGGACTGTGCATTTCCTGCCTTGTAGGCCACCTGGTGGGAGAGAAGACTGAGTCAGAAGCAGGTGACAGAGACAGGGAGAGGAGGCTGGAGTAGTGTCACCATGGAATCTTGTCAAGTTTGGCTTGACTTTTCTCTGACTTGCATGGGAAGTCCATTATAAAACCGATCAGACCAGACTCTGAGTGGCGGAATATATTAAATGAGGCTTAAGGCAAAAGAGTGGATGGGAGAAAAAGCAGTAGTGAGGATCTGGGAGAAGAATGAGGCCAGTGGACCAATTTATAAAACCCCTCCAAGGTTTTTCCTTCACACTTTTCACTTGAGGTGGTTTTGGCTTCCCCAAGCTATTCCCATCTATACTGTCCACCACTACAAAATCATCTCCTCATGGAAAACTTATCACTCTTGCTCTTTCTCTCCACCCACCCTTCCAACTTGAGTTTCCAAAGAGTGGTTTCCTGCCAACTCCAAATTATGTTAAAGCATCTTTTCTGGCTGCCATCCATGAACTTCCAGAAGAACAAACAAATCTGTCTTGGAAGAAGCACAGCCAGAATGCTCCTTAGGAGCAAGCATAGCAAGACTTCATTTTATGTACTTTGGACATGTTATCAGGAGGGACCAGTCCCTGGAGAAGGACATCATACTTGGTAAAGTAGTTGTTGTTGTTGTTTGCCGTTGAGTCGGACCCGACTCATAGCGACCCCTCCTTGGGTTTCCGAGGCAGTATCACTACGGAAGTAGATTGCCCAACCTTCCTTCCGATCATAAAGTAGAGGG